TGACGAGGCGACACACACGCACACGCCAAACCCAGCGTTGCAACGCAACGTCCTCTGCAGAGGCCCCCGCGCGAGACGCCCTCACAGTTGCACATCTCACGCGGGCGCCCGCCCGAGGCGTCGGCGCTGGGGCGCGACGCCTCGGGTGGGGAGGAAACGCGTTAGGAGCGCGTTCAAGCAATCGGTAACAGCGGCAACGTGATTAAAACATAGCGTCAACCAAATAGCTAGAAAGAGCGATTGCTTTCAGTCGCCTCCCACTCTTTCCTCCCCCTCCTCCACCGCGGCCGCTTTGGCTCAATGCATATGCAGTGGTTTACTAATGGATTGCCGGCGGCGTTGGCTGCCAGCCCCTGCGCCCAGCGTCCGATGTTGAGCGCTCTGCGGGCCGCGCCTCGCAAGCGCCCGCGCGGTGGTTGGAGACAGCGGCGAGCTCAAGGCGAAGGGGGGCAGCCCGAGGATCATCAGATTTCCAGGCTCGCTGCTGGGCTCCTTTTAGATTGGGCGGGCGGCACTTTGAGCTCTGCGAAACTCCAATTCCACATGGGCAATGCAGTTAGCGACGGCAGTCGCAACCCCACGGTTGTCAATCTGACAGCGGTAGGGGCAGGGCAGTCAGCCCAGCGAGGTCTCAAAACACTCTTGGAGGGCAAGCTGGGGATCTTGAGTTTGCAGACGAGTGTCGAGAACCCAGAGGGCGTGACCACTATGCTTCTGCCTTCCACTCTTGCGCGGCTGATCTGTCGACGCTGCCCTCGCGAGTTCTCGCGGCGCCTCGGTGCGGATTCAAATAAGTTGCGGGATGTTTGGCGCAATTTCTTCAAGAACCCAGAGACAGCTGCCTGGGCCCAGCAGCGTCCATTTCTACGTGGGCGAGCTGTGGGCGATTTGGCGCCCACGGTGCCCATCGCCGTCCACGGCGACGCGGGGCCGTGCACGAAACAGAAAAGCTGCAACATCGTGTCTTGGTCATCTTTGCATGGCAGCGGAGATGAGAAGTGTTCAAAATACATCGCATGCTCGCACCTCAAGGGTAACAGCGGCGGTGACAGGACAACGTGGAGAAACTTACTCGACGACTTCGACAAGCTGGCGACTGGAGAGATTGGATGGGAGCCGATTGCAAAGATAGGCAGGAGAAACATGTGTTTCGTGTTGTTGGTATGCAAAGTCGACGAGGAGGTCGAGGTGCAGGAGTTCGGCGCGGTTAACTACAGCGCTGCTGCAGGTCGCATATGCGGCGATTGCTTGCGTAGCGATACTTCCCGCCCATGGGCGGATCTCAGCAGGATGGCGGCATGGAGGGCGACCGAGAATTTAAGCTTTGAGGCTTGGAGGGGGCGTTTCCGCGCCCCTTGGCACCCGCTGGCGGCGCCTCGCTACTGTTGTTCACGTTTTTTCTTTTACTTCGAGTTGATGCGTGTTGGCAGACTGCAACGGCACGTCCGCCATTGCCTTTGGCAGCGCGCTGGACCTACTGCTTCAGATGGGCACGCTGGGGTCGAACCGAGATGCACGCTTGCAGGTTATCAATGCATATATGAAGCAATGGTATCAGGCTCGGCCTGGCTGGCGCCGTCTCGCCCCATTAAGATTGGGGAACGTGCGCGCAGCGGACGGATGGGCCGAACTACACGGCCCCATGATAAAAACTGCCGGTGCCAGAGCGTTCGCGCCGTTGCTGTTCGATTTCGCCAAGCTCCACTTCATTGCTGGGACGGAATGTCACAGGCACGTGTTGTTGTCGTTCGGTGGCATCGTTGACGACTACAATGCCATGTACAACGCGCCAATGTTCATGTCTCAGCGGGCTCGGGCCGAGCTGTCCACTTCGTGCGTGCAAATTGGTGAAAGCTGGATGGCTCTTCGAAGTATCGCCAGGCGCGATGGGAAGCTCCTGTGGAAAGTCACTCCCAAAGTCCACAAATTACAACACACCGTGCTCTACAGCAACGCTCTGAATCTACGGTACATCCAGGTGTATGCTGAAGAATCCCAGGTAGGGACGACCTCGAGGATTTGGCACCGATCGGTTCGCGGTGCAAATGCATCTTCTGTCCAGTCAGTTGTGTTGATGAAGCGCATAATGGGATTGTTGTTGCGGTACGAAGTGTGACTTGCCAAAAAAAAAACTAGAGCAGTGCGAACATGTTGAACTGATTGTGCAGTCAAAGGGCTGACGCCACCACAGCCGCCCCAGCGCGCTGTGCTTGTCTATCGCTACCAGGCCCTCTTAGGCTCTCTTGGGAAGCCTCTCAGGCCGTCCTGGTTCCATATCGGTGTTCACTTGGGCCGTCTTGGATCCGTCTGTAGGCCGTCTTGGGCAGTATAGGGGCCGTTTGGGGGCAATATTGGGCCCTCTTGGGGCAGTCTTAGTCGTGCAGATCGACCGACATAATGACTCGATTTGTTGCGTGTCCGAGGGCATGTTGGGTACAACTAATCGGCGGTTTATGCTGTGCCCAACTTCTGGCCTTGGGGGCGCCCCTGGACTCCCCTGCTTGTCAAGCTGCGTGGTGCGAACGCCGCGGTGTAATCTACATGGTGCAAGTTATGTGGTGCAAGCTGTATGGCGGCCGCCGTCGTCGTCGTCGCGGTCGTCGTCGTCGTCGTCGTCGTTGTCATCGTCGTCGTCGTCGTGGTCGTGGTCGTGGTCGTGGTCGTCGTCGTGGTCGCGGTCGTCGTCGTCGTCGTGATCGTCGACGTTGACGTCGACGATCACGACGACGACGTTGACGTCGACGACGACGACGACGATGACAACGACGACGACGACGACCACGACGACGACGACGACGACCACGATCACGACGACGACGACCACGACGACGACGACGACCACGACGAAGACGACGACGACGACGACGAAGACGACGAGTCAAGGGGCTGGATCATCAGGCGACAGGGGCGCGACAAGCGCGTCGGCGAGGAGCTGGCGGGGACGGACGAAAAGGTTGGACGATATTTGTATATACATATGTGCATATGCACATATGTTATACATAATTATATCCGTATGTGATTATACATAATTCTATTCGTATGTTAGTCATGGATATGCTATATATAACATATCCATGAATAACATACGAATAGAATTATGTATAACTGTAAATAATTAAGATGAGTACACGTTTGATTTTACATGATTATACATGTACCTATGAATGGTACAGTTGATGCGCACATGCATTATCCATAAGCATATCGCGCTTACCAATAATACGCATAATCAGTCGTAAACCAACGAATTAAAAAAAGGAACGCGTGCGCGCCATTGGGCAGGGAAGGGGTCACGACCCCAAGGACACCCCCGAGACCGCCCCCGAGACCCCCTCCCCCGGGACCCCCTCCCCGAGTGGGAAGGGATCAAAGGGGGAGGGTTTCCCCTTCCACGTTCTTTGATGTCGTAGGGGTTGGGGTGTTCGTCGGGAGCTGAGACGTGTGAGGGGTGCGTCGAACTGGAGGTGGAACTGCACGCGGACCCTGCCACTGGGGCCTCCGGCGGAGCCCCCGTATGGGGCCACGAAGCGTGTGAGTGGTGCGCCGAAATGGAGGTGGAACTGCATGCGGACCCTGCCACTAGGGGCCTTGGGCGGAGCGCCCTATGGGGCCACGAAGCGTGCGGTGGGTGCGCCGACATGGAGGTGGAACTGCATGCGGACCCTGCCACTGGGGCCTTCGGTGGAGCCCCCTATGGGACCACGAAGCGTGTGGTGTGCGCCGAAATGGAGGTGGAACTGCATGCAGACCCTGCCACTGGGACTTTCGGTGGAGCTCCCTGTGGGGCCACGAAGGAGGAGGGAGGGAAGGAGGAAGGCAGGAGGGAGGGAAGGAGGGAGGGAGGGAATGCGGGGACCGTCTTTTCAAAACGAGGACCCAACACCACAGGATGGTTGGGAAACAAATGCGTCTGACATCGCACTATAATGAATTTTGAGGGCATCAAGACGGCCCCAAAGAGCCGAAAACGAGCCCCAATGTGACCCCAAGAGCGCCCTCGAGACGACCAAACATGATGATTCCCCCAGGGGCATCCTCACCAAAGTGGCAATTTACCAGCATCGACGTTTGCAATCACAAGCGTTTCGCCTGAGACATCCTCGCAAAATTCGAATACAGCCGAACACACAGGAGCACGGCAGAACACGCAAAACACGGCAGAACATGAGAACACACAGGAGCACGGCAGAACACACAGGAGCACGGCAGAACACACAGGAGCACGGCAGAATTCACAGGAGCATGGCAGAACACATTGAACACAGGAGCACGGCTGAACACCCAGGAGCACGGCAGAACACACAGGAGCATCTTGCCTTGAAGGCCCCGTCTTTAACTTTAATTTTAACATACAGGAGCACGGCAAAACACACAGGAGCACGGCAGAACACAGGAGCACGGGGGCCCAAGGTTGGCCTCAGGCCCCTCTGCGCCGTGGCCAGGCGAGGGTTCCGCCACCGGCGCTTGGCCCGCACCCATGCCATTCCCCAGGCCCTCGGCGTCGAGCTCCATGGGCTCACGGCTGACAGGACGCAGCGTTTGCAACCCATGCGCGAGGCCTGGTACGTACGGCGGGTGGAGCGCCTCTCTGGCGTTGTGGAGGCAGCCGCCGCCGTAGCCTGTGAGGACGACGAGGTCGAGGCCCACGAGCTCGGCAACAACGAGTGGAGCGGCCGCGTTGGCCAAGCTGGTGAGCATGAGCGTCCAGAGGCCCCTGCAGTGCAGCGGCAGTGCTTCGCTGGCTCCCAGAGGCGCAGCGGCAGCAAGTGCTCGGCGTCCTGGAGGAGAGCTGTGGCCAAGGATGCTATCCAGAAGGGCGGCAGGCTCGCCCGCCGCAGGCCTGCCAGGGCCGTGCCGCCCCCGCAGGTGGAAGACCCTGACGCTGGCGGGCCTGTGGCTGGCCTGCTGGCAGTTGGGCAGCTGGAGGCCAGCTGGCAAGCCTTGCGGCAGCAGGAAGGCGTCCGGGCAGGAGCTGGAGTCGGATGCTGGGTTGTCCAAGGTCGGACACTGCAGGCCTTCAGCCTGGAGATGCCGCAGGCGGTGCGCAAGCGCGACTCGCCGACGGCGGGCCTTGACGCCGTGCAGCTCACCATGTTGGGTTCAGGGCTCATCGGCACGCCTGACGTCAACGAGGAGGAGATCGCGGCGTGCCCCAAGGGCGGCGCCTGCATGGTGCTGGGAAGCTGCTCGGGGGCGGCGCCTAGCTTCAAAGAGCGGCACCCAGGCGACAAGACAGACAAGTCAGGCAGGAACCAGCGCAGCGAGTGGCTGCGGGCACCCCATCCTGGAGGCAGGCCACGAGCGGGCAGGCGGAGAGTGAAGGAAGAAGGCATCCCAGCGCTGCATGCCCAGGAGCGGTGCCTGGAGTGGCTCGGCATCGCAACGGAGATAGCCGCTGGCGCTCTGTCCGCTGCGGGCGGCGCGGGCAACGCTCCAGCGGCCGCCGCTGCGTCTGCGGCCGCCGCGGGCAGCCAGTGCAAGGCCCCTGCGGCTGCGCCCGCGGCTGCGGCCGCTGCTAGCCAGCCCCTGCGGAGTCCTGCTACGGCGAGTGCTGGGCTCCTCGGCGCCTTCAGGATCACCGAGGAGGTGCCCCCCGCTGCGGCCAGCGCAGCGGTTGACGCCCTGGAGGGCCGCAGGGTGAGCCGCCGTTGGCGCGCCGCGGCGCTCGGTCCGTGAGTGAGTGGAAGTTTGGCATCGGTGAGGCTCGCGCTTGCTGCTCTCTGTCGTGAGTAGGCTCCTGTGGCCCTCGGTGCCTGCTCGGGCTCGGCGTCTCTCGGGGGCGTGGGTCCCGTCTGGCCCTGTCCGTGTTTTTTCTGGGAGGGGGCCCAAGGCGGCTTCCTCGGGAGGGGCGGCCCCTCCGCGGCCCCCCTCTTTTTTTCTTGTCCAGCCTTTAAGACCCCACCAACCAACCAACCAACACAGGAGCGCGGCAGAACACACAGGAGCATAGCCGAACACACAGAACACTCCGTAGCCATTTTGGCTCAAGGCCATGGAGAACCCGACGACCGCGAGTCGTTCGCGGCGCTCCGAGCGCGAGGATCTCCGCGCTTTGGGCCAGTGCAATTCGAGCTCGTGCTCCCTGCCTTCACGGCGCGGAGGCGCAGCCCCGCGGCCAGCGCGGCAGTGGCCATGGCGAGGTCCCCGCGCGGCGGCGGCAGCAGCAGGCGCAGCAAGTCCTACTGGATGTGCAGCTGCGGCGGGTGGAACTGGGATTGGCGCACCTCTTGCCTGGGCTGCGGGCGTGCGGCCCCGCCATGGGCGATGGGGGCGCCCCCGCCCAAGGCGAGGCCCAAGGCAGACAAGGATGGCTGGGTGGATCAGCCACGTGGGCGCCGTGCCCAGAGGCAGGCCCGCGGCGCGGCCTCGCGGGCAGCATCCACCAAGTCGCAGACCTCGGCGTCGGCAGCAAGTGGGGCGCCCAGCGGTGGAGGCGCCGCGGCAATCGAGAGGCCCCAGGCGGCAGTCGAGCAGCTCGAGGCGCTGCAGGCCGAGCCCCCAGACGGAGTGGACGGCTGCTTCAACGACGTCGTGGCCAGCCAGCTGGAGGCGAAGCGTGCCGAGCTGGACAAGGCCCAAAAGGCAGCAGCGGAGCAGAAGGCCTCGTCCCTGCCGCGGGCGACGCGGCTCCACAGGGAGGCGAACGCCATCAGCATGGGCGAGAAGCGGCTCCGGGCAGCCCGCCTGGAGCTCGAGCAGAAGCAGGGGGCGCGCGACCTCGTCGAGGCCCAGCTCCAGGAGGCCCAGGAGAAGCTCGCGGAGCTCGACGACGAGGTGGAGGAGGCGAGCCCGGCGCTCCAGGTGCTCGAGAAGGCAGCCCGTGAGGAGGCCGAGGCGCTGCGCCGCCGGCGCGCAGCCGAGTGGACAGGAGCCAGCCAGGTGCCGGGGCCCCTCATGCAGCTGGAGAAGCTGCCAGAGGCGTGGGGCTCCAGCAACTTCGAGGTGGCCCCGGCAGCCATTCGCGCCCAGATGGAGGCAGTGCGAGCGCAGCTCGAGGGGTCCCAGTGGCCCCCAAGCGCGCGCCGTGGGCTGAGTCCTGCCCCATGGAGGAGGTCAGCAGCGACAGCGGCAATCTCGCGGACGGCGGCGGCGCCTGGCAGCCCCAGCCAGCAGCGGAGCGAGGCCAAGCCGAGCGGCGCGGCAAGGCGCTGGGCGAGTGGCCAACGGTGGCCCAGGCATGCAAGCGGGAGCTGGCGGCAGAGGCAGCGGACCTGGCTCCCCTGGCTGCTCATCCTGCTGGCAGGTCCGCTGGGAGCCGCGTCGGAGGGGCGCAGCCAGGGCCAGCGAGTGCATAGCGAAGCCTGTGCGGCGGGCCTGCGCCTGCACGTGAGCGGCACCGAGGTCGTCGAGGGCGACTTGGCGGGGCTCCACAGCACGTGCGCCCTCGACCCGCCCTGGGGCCAGGAGCGCGCTGCAAGGCCCAGCTGTGTCCACATCCTCCTGGACCCTGGAGAGAACGCAGTTGGGGCCATCGAGTTCGGCACTAGCGAGTGGGGCGACCCCGTGGGCAGAGCAGGCGTACCTGGGCCTCCCGAGGCGACGGCCAGGAGTGCGGATCCGCAGCGGCAGCGACGGGAGGAGACGGCTGCCAGGGGCGGTGCAGCCGCCACAGGCGTGAGCCGTGCCTCGCCCGTCGGCGCGGTGGCGCGGACCCAGTGGATCGGCGACTGGCACCTTGAGTCGGAGTGGTGCATGGTCATGGACCTCGGTGACACGTTCGACCCCATGTTCCTCGAGCCGCGGGCGATGTGCTCGGGGGCAAGCACGTATGCTCAGCAGGCCTGCTACCGCCAGGTGAGGCGGGACCCCTCCTCCAGGCCCCTCTCGCTTCGGCAGTCGTGCAGGGGCGCCATCGGGCTGCGGTTCAGGCCAGGAGTCAAGTGGTGCGTGAAGGGGCAGCGAGCACGAGGAGGAGGTGTCGGCGAACTCGACAGCGAGCAGTACGTCCAAGGCTCGGCCTCGAGCAGCGGAGGGCCCCCTCCTGCTGGCGGGATCGGCCATGAGCGGTCCGCGGCGGCTTCGGAGCCCATGCAGGCTGGGGAGGCCCTCGGCGGCGGCGCTCCAGCTACGCGGCCCCGCCTGGAGGACAGCCGCTCGACGGGGAGCAGCGCGGCCGCCCTCTCGGCCACCGCTGTCGCCTTCGGCGTCCTGGGGCACGTGCTCAGCTATGCCTGCGCGGGCGAAGGAGAGGGCGCCCAGGAGATCGTGGCGTGCACCAAGTGCGGCGCCTACAAGGTGCTGGGCAGCCACGCATGAGGCAAGTCTCGCCTGAAGGCGCAGTGCCCAGGGCCCAGCTACCTGACCAACAAGTCGGGCAGGAACCAGCGCAGCCTGCGGGGGCGAGGGCCCCATCCTGGCGGCGGGCCTCGAGCGGGCGAGCAGAGGATGAGAGCAGAGGGCGCCCCTGCCTTGCGCTCGCAAGGGCCAGTGCCAGGGCACGCCCAGGAGCGCTACCTGGAGTGGCTCGGCATGGAGGCGGAGCCAACAGGCGGAGCCTCCACCGCTGCCAGCAGCTCGGGCAGCGGCCCAGCGGCTCCCGCGGCAGTGCAGGTTGAGGAGTCGGCGGCGGCCAGCCTGCCCCAGCAGCGGCCAGGCCCGAGTGCTGGCGCCCTCGGCGCAGGCGGCGCCGCCGAGGAGGAGCTCGCAGCCGCGGGGCCCGCGCCTAGCGGCAGCCTGGTGGGCCGTAGGGTCCGCCGCCGCCTGGCGCGCCGCGGCTCGGAGTCGTCTGGGAGTGATTGAAGGCCCTCCCGCCTGACCGCCCGCGTCTGTTGCTCCCGTGTGAGTAGGCACGCGGGGCTCGCTTGCTTGGGACTCGGCGTCTCTCGGGAACTTTGGTCCCGCCTGGCCCTGTCCCTGTTTTCCTTTTCCTTTCGCCTTTAAGGCCCCGGCTATAGCTATAACTATAACACACAGAACACGGCAGAACAAGCAGCAGCACGGCAGAACACACAAAACACATAGGAGCACGTCAGAACAAGCAGGAGCGCGGCAGAACACACAGGAACACGGCAGTACACACAGGAGCACGGCAGAACACACAGGTGCACGGCATTATTGACGGCAGAAAACACAGGAACACGGCAGAACCAGGAGCACGGCAGAACACGCAGGATCACGAGGAGCACGGCAGAACACACAGAGTACGTGGGAGCACGGCAGAACACCCAGGAGCATGGCAGAACAAGCAGGAGCGCGGCAGATCACACACAAAACACATAGGAGCACGGCGTGACACACAGGAACACGGCAGAACACATAGAAGCACGGCAGAGCAGGACCATGGCAGAATACACAGGAGCACGGCAGAACACACAGGAGCACGGCAGAACACGTACGAACACGGCAGAACATACAGGACATTTGTTCACTCAGCCGCACCCACAGGCACACGCACATAGGCACACGCACACAGGCACACGCACACGCACACACAAACACAGACAGACAGACAGACAGACAGACAGACAGACAGACAGACAGACAGACAGACAGACAGACAGACAGACAGACAGACAGACAGACACACACACACACACACACACACGCGCACACACAGAGAGGCAACATACGTTCACGCAGGCCGCAGGAGCATGGCAGAGCAGCACGGCATAACACAGCAGTGCGCAGACCACCACGCACGGACAGACACACGCACATGTTCCACGCACACGCGCACGCGCTCGCGCAAACGCATGCACGCCACGACATATATTTGCTTCAGACCAACAAAATAGCATACTTCACATACCTAGTGGACAAAAGCGACGCTTCCCGTTCTTGTCCGGACAGGTTTCAAAAATGCCGTGTCGCTCGAGATATCCTCAAGAAATCGGCCCCGGAGGGGACACCGAATGAACATCGTCTTGGAATCGCTCCCGGAGGGCTTGGTCCAAAAGACTCCCCGAAGGGCCCAAGAGCGCCCCAAGAGGGCTCCAAGAGACCCCCAATAGCGCTCCAGGAGGCACCCTGTCAGGAGGCGCCCAAGACGGGCCAAGAGAGCCCCAAGAGATTCCCGCGAGCGCCCCAGGAGGTCCCCAAACGGCCAAAGAAAGCCCCAAAACAGCCCCATTTGGCGATGAGTCGGCCCAAGAAAGCTTTAAGAGAACCCAACGACGCGCCCAGACAGCCCAAGAAGACCCCAGAAGCCCACAAGAGGACTCAAGAGGCCCCCAAGAAGCTTCCACAGGCCCCAAGACAACCCCGCGCGGCGCCTGGAGCCCCCCGGGTAGCCCGATAGGGTCACCAGGACCCTCTCCTGATTCAACGTCCTTCTCCAGTTTCCTTTTATTGTCCTTCGTTGTCGTCGTCGTCGTCGTCATTGTCGTCGTCGTCGTTGTCGTCGTCGTCGTCGTCGTCGTCGTCGTCGTCGTCATCGTCCTCCGCATTCCTCCTCGTGCTCGCCCTCGTTCTCGTTGTCTTCGTCCTCGTGCTTCTCTTCCTCCTCGTTGTCCTCATGCTCCTCCTCGCTATCCTCACGTTCTCCACGTCGTCCTCGTCGTCGCCTCCTCGTCGCCCTCGCCTTCCTGTTTTTTTTCTTGCCCAATAAGCCCATTGGTTTAAGCGCTTCTCCCCACAGAGGGCCCCATGACGGCCCAAAATTGCGCCAAGACGCCCTCCAGAAGCATTCAAGCCGTGACCCCCCGAGGACCCCCCCAAGAGGCCGCCAAACGGCGCCAGGGACGTCTCCAGATGCGCCCAGTGAGCTCCTAAACAAACTGTCGCGAGGTCCTCCAGAAGTTCGCCTCAGATGAGCCTCCGCAAACAAATCTAGGAAGGACGGGGAAGGGTTCGCAGGGCAACTAAGGCGAGAACGAGGAAGAGAAAGAGGAAGCGGACACATGAGGGACGGAGAAGGAACAGCAATATGTCAATTGTGACGGCGAACATTGCAACTGATGTTGTGTTGATTGATCTGACTATCAGTATGCCTGTAGCTTAGACGTGAAGGTTCAAGGTGCATGGCGCGATGCGCCAACGCAGTATTGTATGTAAGCATGCAGGTAAGTAAGTATGCGTACCCGCATGCATGCACGCACGTATGTATGTATGTATGCATGCATGCATACATGCATGTATGTATGTATATTGTAAGTAAGCGTGTAAATATGTATGTGTGTACGTGCGTACGTGTGTATGTATGTATACAAGCATGTATGTAGGTATGTATATATGCATGTCTGTATATTCGTACACATGTATGCATGTGTATATGTAGGTATGACAGCGTGTGTGTGTATGAGTATGTTTGTATATATGTATGTGTGTGTATAAAAGTATGTATGGTTGTAATGTGTACATGTATGTATGCATGCATGTATGCATATATGTGTATGTATATGCATGTATGTGTATGTATGTCTGTATGTGTGTATGTGTGTACGTATGTGGACGCGTGTTTGCTGGTTCGTATATATGTACGATGCATGTCTGTATCCATGTATACATATATGTGTATGTTTGAATTTATACACACAAGAGAAGTGCTCAGTGCATACATGAACACCTGTATGAACATATGCATCTATGTATACAATCTTACACGCATGAGTAAGTCTATACATCAGCAACCAAGGCAATCAACAACTACACACATACATCAACAAGCATCTAAATACATAACTTAACACATGCGGTACAGAGCCTTCGGCCCATCCCACCTCCGTACCCGGATTGTGGGTCTGAATCCGCAGGGATGCTTTTTGGGGTCTGTTCGGAGCGCTTTCGGAGGCCTCTCGGGGGCAGTTTTGGAGCCTCTTCGAAGCCTCTTGGAGGCCTCTACACAAATAGCTCAGCAAGGAGACATACATTAACAAATACGATACATGGCCTTCGGCCCATCCCACCTCCGTACCTGGATTGTGGGTCAGAGTCCGCAAGGATGCTTCTTGGGGTCTGTTCGGAGCGCTTTCGGAGGCCTCTCGGGGGCAGTTTTGGAGCCTCTTGGGAGCCTCTTGGGGGCCTCTCGGGGCTTCCTGGTGGCCTCTTGGGGGCCTCGGGGGTCCTCTTGCGGGCCTCTTGGGGCCTCCTGGAAGGTTCTCGGGGCAGAGAGCTGGAAATGTCCTTTCGGTTACCCCGTCAGGGCCCCATCTTGGAGCCGTCGGGGGAGCCTCTTGGGCCGTCTTGGAAGCATTTGAAGCAGTCTTGGTGCCCTATTGGGCCGTTGTGGGGCCCTATTGGAGGCCTCTTGGGCCGTTTTGGTGCGATCTTGGGTGCCCCCTGACAGAGTGCGCGCGTTCCTACCATCTCCCATCCTCCGCCCGTGCACGTACGTTTTCTCCTGACTTCTTGCGGTTTCCTTAGATGTTGGCCGAAGGGCCTACATATGCTTGCCAGCCCACCAGGGGCTGCTCCTGTTGGCACAAGCCCATCAGGGGCCGCGCCCTTGACCAACTTACGGTCTTCCGCCCGACGGGCGGCTGATGCGCTCTGGCGCGGCGCGCTGGGGGAAGAAAAGCACTCCGATCGCTTTGCGATTCCGCCAGTGATAGCGGAGCCCGCCGCTGGCGGGCAGATCCACGGGGCTCGTCGGCGCCGAGCAGCAGCAGCAGCCTTCAGCGGCGCTGGAGACGATCTACACCCAGCTCGTCTGCGACGACCACGGCTTCAGGCTCGACTGCGTCGAGGTTCGCTGCAGCACAGGACGGATCGCGAGAGTGATGACCATCCTGGAGCATGTGGCGGCGCTGAAGGCTACAGCCGCATCCCGGTTTGGGATGGAGCGCCGCAGGGTGGGAGGAGCTACCGCGATGATGTTGAGATCTGTGCGCTGGGCACCAACCTTGACGTGAACTACTGTGCGGCGGCGCGGCTCGTGAGCAGGCTCAAGGGCGCCTCCAGGAGGGTCGGCCTCAGGATTCCGAAGGAGAGGCTACAGCCGCTCCAGGCGTCGCCAGCCGAGTACGACGACGGCGGACAGCAGGTCCGCGAGGCGACGGAGACCGACAATATGAGAAGTAACAACAACGTGCTCGATGCGCTGGAGGCAGCGCTAGACTGGCAGTGTGCAGCCTGACGTGGCGAGAAGATGTCCGACTTCTTCAAGGGCACCCGCTACAAATGGAGAGCGTGTGTGCGCATGGCGGATTTCGTGGCGAGGTTCGAGGCAGGTGTCCAGAGGCTCAACGACGATGGAGTGCGGTTCGCGGACCAGGACGACATCCTGGGCTGGTGGTTTCATGAGAAGTGCTGCCTCTCGCCCGAGCGTCGTGAGCGAGTGGTGGCGGCTCTCCCTGACCACAAGTACTCGTTCCGAGATCAGAGGACGATTGTGGTCAGAATCTTCCCGAACCTACACATGACGGAGAGCCGACGCACACAACGCCCTGCACGATTCCAGCAGCGAGGCCAGAACTAACGGTTCGGCCAGAGGCGGCCCGGTCATGCAGGCTCGGGCTCGTCGACACGGGCGCGAGTGCGACAGAGCTCGGGGACCAAGCGGAGGGCCGCGGTGACGAGCAGCAGCAGGACGACGACTACGGCGACGGCTTCGAGGAGCAGGAGCACGAGGTAAACGAGGTGGAGGTCTCGGAGATCCAGGGGCTCGCGCGCCAGGAGCTGGAGGCGCTCGCGACGGAGCTGGAGGCCCGAGGACAGCACGCTGGACCTCTCACCCGAGGATTCGGCAGCGTTGGAGGAGGCGGCGCTCCAGGTCTCGCAGTTCACGGAGGCGCTGGAGGTCAT